TGGGATCTTCAAGATAAACTACATAGGATGTTTAGTTAGGGATGGAAGAAATAGATATGTTGAATTCAACATGAGGATAGTAAAACTCAAGACAGCTTTCAGAATTAGGTAAATTTGTGGACTGCTCTAACTTGGACTTAGTAACTATTCTTTGAGAAGTTTCTAATGGACATTCTAATTATAGCACACTACATGATCCATTCATCTCTAATATCCACCTGTAGCACCAACAGGAAAGAGAATATTTACCTCTTAAAATAAAGCGTGTTTGTAAAGCAATTCCATTTGTAAAATTCCTTTCCTTCATTGTGCTTATGTAAAAACATGCACAAGTTTGTGACAGATAGGAAAGTGACAAATCAGAAGTAGAAATACTGTGATTCTTATAAAAAAAAAAAAAAAAAAAAAAAAAGGGAAAAGCAGTCTGATATTTACAGCTTTAGAGGAGGAGACATTTTTGAGATTGTGAAATTCTCTTTGCAGAGTTTTTCTCAACCATTTTGCTTTGGAGGAATGGAAGAGATGGTAAGGTTTTCTCTAACAAAAACGTCTACTTTAAATAGTTTCAGGAGCACAAATTCATGACCCACATTTCTTCTGCTTGCCAAATTGTCAGCTTCTAGATGGATTCTCCTATTTAAATTCTGTAGATGTCAGTGCTCTTGTGCAACTATGTTAACTAAGTTAGTTATCATTTTAGTAAATTAAAACAATCAATAATTACATATCCTCAGTAGAGGGGTTAGAAAAGAGCTGAGTCCCATCACCTGCATGTCATACATGTCAGAGCATTCCATATTCTTATCAAGCTTCATCTCAAAAAAGAAAAGGGTTTTTGTATCCCTGCTTAAACTGCTGGACTATTTCTAAAGTGTTTCAGTGTTTGAAAGACTTTTGATTTACAATCTAAATTTATCCCTGGCCACTTCATATTTGCTTTCATGACAATGTTATCATCTAGCTTAAAATTCTTTCCTCGGTGCAGGTGCATGTCTCAGATAGACTAATAGCTCTTCTTTTTTTCTAGCTGTGGTCAATCTCTGATTTTTAAGCTGGATGTAGTTTATGAGCAGCTCAAGTGCATTTTCCTTTCTGGAGCTTAACTTTGTACTAAGCAGGAAGGTGGTGTCATACAATTGCTGGTTAAGTCAAATATCCAGCTGTGAAAGTAAATTAGTAAAATAGGCCATCATTACCCCATTTAACCTACACCCCAGATTACAGGCTATAGGACCAACAGCTGCAAGCCTATTACCCAGCATCAGGATAGAAAAAACATTAGAAGGCATCATTTTCTACTTCGAACTACTCTCACTGCTTCCCTTCCTTAAGCTCCTCAAGTCTATAGTGTGTCTTTTGGCAATCTGAAGTTTTCTGTGTGAGACTTGAAACGTGTACTCTGAAATAAGCCCTCTCTTCTACATATTTCTTTTCATTCTATCTCAAGAAACTATGCATACGTGAAAAGCAGTATATTACATGTTAATATTTTTTTCTTTCAGAAAACCTTGAACGTGACAGTTTCACATACTCTTAAGTTAACTTTATAATCCAAACTGTGCATCTAAATTCCAATTTGAATTTTTCTACCTCTCTCTCTCATTAATTATTCTGCATTTTCTCCTTAGAATAAATGTCCACTGCTTTCTGCCCCTCTGAGGTACTCAAGCACTTCAGTCACATTCGTTTTCAATCTTCTTTCTGATAAGCTAAGCAGATTAAACTTTTAACATTTTACTGTAAGGAATTTTCCCTTCCTCTCAGATTATGATTTACTAGTCTTGTTCACTACCTTTCCTAATGCTCTGATGTCCCTGCAAAACACAGGATCTGATGCAATGTCCCAGGACTGGCCTCATTAATATCATATGAAATAACTGACCTTCTTATTCCTACTCTTTTAACCTTTCCACAACAATGGATAATACAGTAGCACAGATAAAACTTTATCACAGCAATTGAATTGTTCAATTTGAATTCTGAATTGTCTTCTGAATCACTACTTTCTCCAACTCTATCCACAGTTCTGATCAACACACAGCTAATATCCTTCCTTCACAGTAGTATCCTACCTTTCACAGTACTTATTTTACTTAAATGGATTGCATTTAAGAAGTCAGGTTACCTCCCTGCCCTCATCAGAATGTAACTCAATGGGTTTTTTTTTCGTGATGTTGTGATGCTTTTTGATTTTAACTCTACATCATAGATGGCAGTACTGGCCATCATTCTTACCACAATTCACTGTGTAGCTTTTGTCTAGTATTTAGGATGGAGGTGTGGACAGAGAAGCTGTGTCTTGGCTGTGGCAGATTGCAGCTAACTCTAAGTAACATTTTCACCCCACTTAATCTAACCTAACAGTTTCTGGCTCAAATATGACTCATGCAATTGTCACAGACCTGTGAATTCTGGATGTTTCCTTGTTTCTGCCCATGAATTTCCAACCTGACTATCTGAAAGATATGATGTAAAGCTTACTTCTCTCTTCAAATGGTAGGTGAACACTGATTGAATGGACAAAACAGATGAAAGATATGTAATTGTAGCCCTGATGGTTCTAATTTTCTGTTTATGCCTGTTTTTGTAGAGCAGTTTATTTGAAACAAATATTCCCACTCTAACTTTTGATGGTCTAAATTCAGCAACTCAAAAATATTTTAAACAAATTTTTGATAATTTTTCCATGAAGTTATGATGCTATTATAAAGCAGATCAACTAAGAATATTTGGTAGTGAAAATAATGTCTGAGGTCAATAAGAACAGGATGAGAAGCAATAATTTCAAACTGCACTAAAATGAGAAGAGTTGGATATTTACTGGATTAGAAAGAGTATGTGTTCTCAAGCTACAGGAAGAAATGAATGAGGTTAGCTACTAAAGGAGACTGTAGAAGCATTTACAGAAGCATAATACTGAAGGTGATAATAAGATTTAGAAAGAGAAAACAAATTAGAGATTTATAAAGTAGAAATATGCAAATCAACTTTCACATAAATACCAGATCAAGTTTACTAGAAATTTTTAATTCTCTTCACTTTTACTATTACAAATAAAAGATGTAATAACCATTTTTCAATTAAAATGTGAGCAAATGACAGTAGTCTAGAGATTTCTATGTACGTATACTGTGAGTATCCAAATTTGCAATACTTAATACTAAAGAGTTCTTTAAGTTCTTCTAAAAGAGTGAATTGGTATTGTTAGGATGCAATGAAAGAAGTAGAGAAGAGATTCATATGCAACACAGTTTTTACCAGAAGTCAGCACAAACAGCAGAACCTATTTATTGTTTTCTTCAGAATTCAAAATCAAAGAATCATAAAGGATGGAAAAGACCTCCAAGATTATCCACCTAGCACCTATCACCAATATTTCTTCACTAAACAACATCACTTAGTACAACATCTAAAGATTCCTTGAACAGCTCCAGGGATGGTGACTCCATTACCACCCTGGGCAGATCATTCCAGTACCTGATCATTCTTTCAGAGAAGAAATTTGCCTAATGTCCTACCTGAACCTCCAGTGGCACAACTTGAAGTCATTTCCCTCTCATCCTATTGCGAACTATGCAAGAGAAGAGGCCAAATCTCACCTCACCACAACCTCCTTTCAGGTAGTTATAGTGTATAATAATGTCTCTCCTGAGCCTCCTCTTCTCCAGCCTAAAGATCCCTCAGCCACTTCTCATAAAATTTGTACTGCAGTCCCTCCACAGCTTCTTTGTCCTCTCTGGACACACTCCATTGCCTCAGTGCATTTCTTGTAACAAAGGGCTCAAAACTGAACACAGCACTTGAGGTGTGGCCTCTCTAGTGATAAGCACACGAGAAGACCACCTCCCAGCTCCTGTTGGCAACCCTATTTCTGATACAAGCCAGGACGCCATTAACGTTCTCAGCCAACTGAGCACACTCCTGACTCATGTTTAGCCAAGGACTGACCAATAGCTCCAGCTCCATTTCTTCTACAGTCGTCCAGCCACTCTGCCCCATGCCTGTAACGCTATCTAGAGCTGTTGCAGCCAAAGTGCAGGATCCAAAGTCCAGGAGTGGCTTTAGTTATGTAATGCAACTCACAATTTTATTCATATATATTTAGCTGTGTTGTTTTTATAATGATTGCCAGCTGTTAAGTAAGATTTCCATGATAATAAATACCTTTTCTTCAGGTCCACATGGCTGATCACAATGCTGATATTCTTCTCTCCTGACATGTGCAGAACACACTTTAGAATGTCAGTGGGAATTCTGCACACACATGGAGAGGAGGCTACAGGAGATGACATTTTCCATGTGGCCCTGAGATGAAAATTTTGCCCTAAGATAGTTCATTCAGTAAGTTTTTTTCCCGACTGCAGCAGTCACTTTTGCTTTAATAGAAAATGAACCTTTAAGACAATGTAAAGGAATACCATTTGCCAAGGGACTGTTTGATATGTAGGTTTATGTTTAAATATCAACATGAAACATTCACTGATGAAAAACTAGCGATGGTAGTATTTTTCCATGAATGATCCTCACAGGTTTTACTTCTGATCAACATCATACCCAGTCAGACTGACCAATCTTAGAGCAGATTCCAAACTATGATATCCCACATGCATAACTCTAATATATTTTTTTTAATTCTGTGGTAATAGTTCAAAAAAAAAATGTTGACTAGAAGTGTAATTAATCTCAAGTAGTCCTGAGGAAGAAGTAACAGAGTAGGTAGCCTAAAAAATAACATTTGCATATAAAATAACAAATAAAAAACCCACTGGTTTCTAGTTCTTCGCTATTACTATTTTTTGAAGGTTGAATATCATGAAACGCAGTATCAACTTTGCTGTTTTCCTGTTCATACACAAATGAATAAAGTGATTGACTCTGCAAAATCAGTTTTCCTAACAAAATATCTAACAAAATGTTTTGTTTCTGTTGTTTTTTTCTTCCCCCCACCTGTTCTTAGCTTGGTAGCTACAAAGGAAACAGACAGTGCAAGATCCCGTAGCATGCCAATGTCACCTTCTGATTTCTTGGATAAACTAATGGGTAGGATGTCGGGATACGATGCAAGGATCAGACCAAATTTCAAAGGTAATTTCAAACGTAAACTTCCAAATAATTCAGTATTTCTTCTTACAAAAAAGATAGAAAGAATATGTAAACCTAGAAATATGCTTCTTTTTTAAAGTGAATTCCCTTTTCTATTACGGTTTCAGTAGTATTACACTCTATACCTATCATTTTCACAGCTGAACTAATGCAGATTTTTAGTCTTATAACTATTTTTGGACTGTCTAATAGTTTTCTTTTTTCTCTTTCCTGAAATATTTGTTAATGGATTTGAATTCCCAACTAGCACAACAGTAGTCTGAAGTAACCTAGAAAGGAAGTTGCATGAAACACTTGCCTGATGCTGGATATAAGGAGTATATTATGCACATAACATCGGAATCAAACTCAAGAGTTTGTCTTAGTCATCAAGTCTATAATGAAACTCTCCTGTAACTTTAGATTCCTCTTGTGCCTCAAGAAGGACTGTATTTCTTCTTGTTCTTTACCCTTTTCTCAGTTCTCCTCTGAAACTTCAAGTTCTTGACAACTAGAATTATTACTGTTGTTATATGCCTTGTTGACATTGATCATAAAGAAGATTCACGTAAGAAGTACAAAGTTTGCAAATGCAAATATTGCATGTTCTTTAGCACAAATCATACTACTCAAATGCAGGCATATTTCATAGAAAGATAATACATACATACCTGATATGTTATCATGCAATTACACAAACAAAAATACAAAAACGCTACACTTCCTGACTTTTGCAGTCTGGGAATTTCAGGTAGATTTGACACCTTTTTTCAGAATGCAGAATTCCAGTAATGTAGTGGAACTATGCTTAGCCCTAATTCTGAATCTATATCAAGCTACTAGTCTTTAAAATTCTCCAAAATATGAACACTTTTATAGAAAGAATAAGCCCGTTGTGATTTAAAATATTACTCTTATTTTGCCTTAGTTGCCTCTCCCTTTGCTTTGATTGCAATGAGTTCTCTTAGCTCCAGCTTTTTATTATGTTTACTACAAAACTTTCCCTTTGAGCAGACAAGCCTTCCCCCTCTGAATCATCTGTTGCTACCTTTACAACTTAATTTTTGACTGGCACTGGTCTTTATAGTTTGAGATCACAACACCTCAGTAACTTCAGTAATAATGACTCTTAAGCACTGTCATTTGCTACTTTTGCCAAATTTGCCCAGAATAATTCAAAAGTACAAGGTAAGTAGTTTGTCAACTTACTTCCTCACCAGTAAGCCATAAACAGTCAGTACTGCACGTATAAACTCATTATCAAGGATTTACCACATCCGGAAATACTTCATTTTTAGTTAATTACCACCGCTGATCTTTTTCAAGTAAGATAAACACGCATTGGGAATTCAAACACTTCACTGAAGGATTTACAACAATGACCAATATCCTTCACGTCTATACAGTATGAGTCCCTCAGGCTATGCTTGTTTGAAGCACCTGAGGGAATTGAGGAATATTCCAGTGATGTGCTTTCCAGAGGGTCAGTGTATCAAACAATACTTGCAAAGCAATGCAAAACACTCCACGTCTAAAACTGCTTTCTTATATGAACAGAAGCTTTTAATTTATTTTTGATCTTGTCATAGTTTCAGCTGGAATGGATTTTTGCCTGAGTGTTTGGTGTTATGCTATTTTTTTATTCTAGGATAAAAACAATGTTGATAGCACACTGATGTTTATAGCTGCTGCTAAGAAATATTGTACATAGCCAAGGCCATTCACAGTGTAGGGCTCAAGGAGCTGAGAGGGAGCAGAATTAGGATACCTGTCTTACACTGTCCAAAGGGATATCCCATACCACATGACATTACATAGAAGGATTTTTGAAGGGCATAGGAGTTCATATCACCTTCTTCTGCTGCTCAGGGGATGGTAAACAATTGCTTATGCATCACTTTTTCTATATATTCTTTTATATGCATATATTTATAATGCATAATTATTATCTTTTTTGCTATTTTAGTAAATAGTTTTATCTCAATCCACAAGTTCTACTTTTTCCCCTCTCCCCCAGTTCCCACATCCCACTGAGAAAGGGGCTGAGTGAACAATATGTGATACTCAGCCACTTGCCAGGTTATATCACAACCTTATTAAAATTATTGTGCCTTGTTTCCATACTATTCCCCTTAGCATGTAAACTACAGGTTCAACCTAAGCTAATGCTTTGAGAGGCAATGAAAGACCTCAAGAAAAATCTAAGCACAGCAGTTTTTCTTCATTTTTTGGGTCTCCTGAAGCCCTGCAAATAAGGGCTAAAAATTTGGAGATTGCAGTTTAGGGATTGATTGATTTGGGGATTGGATTTTGGAGTTTGTCACAGACACAATGCAGTCTTCTGATGGGACTACACTGAAGAGCAGACAGATGTTTAGAGATTAGTGAATTCAGTGTAGTACTTCTTGAATATATAATTCAGAAGACTCAGAGCCTTGTTTTGTAACTATTGGAATTTAAAGAGACAAAACCTAATTTGACATTGTTCTTTTTCAGAAAGTGCACATTCTAAATCTTCTAGACAGCTATGCAGTTTGAACAAATCTGCCCAGAATGATTCAGATCTATCACTAAGAATAAGTGTCTCCTCAAGTGACTTTGCCACTTTCTCGTTAGCTGTGTTTGTCCTAGAACAAATACTGTAGTTTTGTCTTTATGAGTTTTTAATTTGGTAGCAGTTTTAAAGGAACAGACATAAGAGATTTCAGATAATCATTTTATGTTGCTTTTTTTTTTTTTTTTTTCCTTTCAATAACATTTCTGCATGGACAAGATTTTAAATTAACATTCAGTTTCATATAGGAAAATGTAATTTGTTCTTTGCCTTGATATTGACAAACAACACTCAGAAATCATTGATTTAGGAACTTCTTAAGTTCACGTAGGTCCTGACTTACTTTTGACTCAGTGTTTTATGGCAATAAAATTGTGATGTTTTGCACTTGTGCAAAGTATTATTTTTTTGTTCAGTTAAATATGGTCACTACTTTATTGCCACATGCCTTATTAAAAAAAAAATGGAGAAAATTCCTTTTGACATTTACAGACTTTGTGTTTATATATTGCTCCTTACTATATTCCTTTTTCTTTTTTCCCCCAAAGTTAAAACCAGCTATCTACTTATGCTGGTTTGTTTTTTTTTTTTTTTCAGCAGTAGTTTAGAGAGTTTGTCAACCTTGACTTTCTTCTTGACGTTTTTTTCTCCCTAATATATCATTTTAAGGTGGACAGAAATTTTCAAGTATTCAGGATGGAAGTTCATGATCTACTTCTATGGCTATCCATCTATCCCAATGTCTACAGAACATGCTTCCAGTGAACCATTGATAATGCATCTACTCCTTTCTGCTCAGAAATCATTAATTTAGAGCCCATTAGTATAAGCGTGTAACAAGGATGGTTTTGCATTTGATTAACACTGAATGTCTTCAAACACTTTATTGTTTGAGTTTCTAAACCATTTCTGATTTGCTTTTGGTTTCTATTTATGCTATTTTAAACTAGCTATTAACTGTCTTCTTGTAATGCTGCTTTTAAAATTATACATCAGGGTTTATTTCCTTTATAAAAGCAATTATTTATAAAGAAAAATTACAATTCAAAACAGTGCTATTTTAAGCAAGATAATATCATGCCAAATTTGAAATTATGACAAGTATTACAACATAGATATTTGAGAAAGGAAAGCTGCCTTGGAATCAAATTATCCAATAATCTTACACAGCAAGGAAATACAATTTTGTCTGACAGTTGTTAGTAATTTCTAGTGACTCTGCCTTTGTTCACCTGCCCTGTTGTTTTTCTATTTTCCTTCATCATCTTCAGGAGTTCATTCTATATGTTATCAATGCATATGGATAAATGCCTTTACTGAATTGTAAGCTCTATTAAATACGCTCACCTGCTCTAAACAATTAACTAAGTTGCAAAATGACTGGAGTGTCAAAGTGACTGTAGAGTAATACCTCTTTACCTGAAAATTCTGCATCGCACATGTAGCTTTGTGCATTAGAATGATTGACGTACATGTAGTAGTTACGATGTTTTGTTATAAAAGCTAGATGTTCCAAGATGGTCCTGTTGGCAGAATTTTCAATGAATATTCTGATTGCTAAAATATGTAATGTTAACTTCATTGGTCACACTAAATTTTACTAGTTCTAAAGCACCAGTGGCATAATAGTCTATTACTTCAGTGACTCTTAACAAATAAATATTACATAATTATTTGCAAGACCAGGTATAGATCTTTCATTATTAATGGTTGTTTACTACTGGAAAAAAAAAAAACACAAGCATTTCCAGTTCTGAAATGGATAGTTGATATATGAATACAAAGGTGCAGGAGAGTGACAGAAGAGCCTTAAGATGGAAAAACCTTGTTTCCATTGCACATAAGCAGAGATTGATAAGAAATAATGGAGAAGTTAGGATGCTATGTCACAATGCCATTTTTACAGAGATTTGCAGAGAAGTAATTTAAAATCTTTACCATGAAGAGATGGCTTATTGTTTAGTTATTGTAATGACTGCTCTACCAGTACTGATGCTTCACAAATGCAAGATAAAGCAGAACAGCAGTAGGCTAAAGACCCACGGTAACAGAAAAATTCAGCTTAAATGGATTCTTAACTATTTTTTGAATTTAAGAGAAATGAGAGTAGAATCTAAGTCATTCTTCCTTATTCACTTTTGTTCCTGTCAGTAGCAGAGATAAGAGCAACAATAATGTATTTCAGTTACCAGTGATGACAGATAATGTCAAAAACTGCCTTAACAGAAGAATGTCACTTTTCCCCCTAACTGTTGTAAAAAGTAGCAAGCATTTTTCACTTGAAAAAAAAAAAAAAAAACCACATTAAAAATACACATTTCAAATTTAGTTGATTTTTTGCTGTCTTTTTTTTTTTTTTTTTCCTCTTTTGTATATAATCCTCAAACTGGCCAGTCTGGTACGGTAATTGTGAGCAAAATTGAAAGGAATAATCTATTACATACCAGAAATTATTCAAATTTTGTATTAAATGAGTTTTGAATGTAACATTATTCCCTCTTAAATCAACAAATATTGTTTCATAATAGTTTATCGCATCAATTTGCTTTACAATCACTCAATATGCATTGATTCTGAAATAGACACTGATTTTTTTTTTTGTTTGCTTTCCCTCTTTTGCAGGTCCTCCAGTTAATGTCACATGCAACATATTTATAAACAGCTTTGGATCCATTGCAGAGACAACCATGGTGAGATATCCTATCTCAAAAAATGTTTAAAGTTCAAGTTAAAGATATTTAAAAATCAAGATAGAACTTCTATTAATACAGAACTAAGTGAAATAAACCCTCTTCTGAAAACAGAGCATTTAATTTAGCAATTGAATTTTTTTTTTTTAAATTTTTGAATTGTTAAATGAATTATATTTTAAATTTCACTCCGTATAGTGCATATGAGGATATATACTTCGTTTAAAATTTTTTTTTTGTTTGTTTGTTTGTTTTGTTTTTTTGTTTTTAAATAGACACGGTGCAGAGAGAGTAGAGTCATAGAATGGCTTGAGCTGAAAGGAAAATGATGGATTGTCTGGTTCCAACCGCCCTGTCATGAGTAGGGTTGCTTTCTACTACATCAGGCTGCCAAGGGCCCCATCCAGCCTGGCCTTGAACACCTCCAGGGATGAGCATCCACAGTTTCTCTGGACAATCTGTGCCAGTGCCTCACCAAATAGTTTCTTCCTTATCTCTAATCTAAATCTCCTTTATTTATTTGTTTGGAAAACCTTTCCTCCTTGCCCTATCACTAGCATGCAGTGTAAAATGTCAGTCTACATCTCATTTCTTAGATCCCTTTAAATACTGAAAGGCTGCAATGAGGTCTCCTCTCTTCTCCAGGCAGAGTAACACCAGATACCTGTGCCTTTTCTTTGTAAAAGCTACAGCACTTTTTTTTTTTTTTTTTTTTTTTTAATATATTTACATGTAATATTACAAAAATATCTAAAGTTCAAGAATCAAATGAGTGAGGCCAGGCTCTCTTCAGTATTGTGCAGCAGCATGCTTGTGGGCTACTTACATCCTTTAGTATATTGTTCATCTCATTTAACTACACACAACAGTACTTTGAAATTGGAGACCAATTCACATTTAATCCTAAAAAAAAAAAAAAAAAAAAAAACCACCCAAAACTATAAGCTAAAAACGTTTCCTAATTTCAGCTGTCAGTTGGAACCTGTGCATTATACAAAACCATATTAATAATTTACATTAGGAAATAGTTACACATTTATAAAGGAATTATATTTTTTTTCCAATTTGCCTTGAAAGCAAATTGATTAAAATAGTTGAGAGATACTGCTGCACAACCCGATCCATTACAAACATTTCCAGTTAGTACATTATAGAAAATACCAAAGTTGTTCAGAACCAGAGACCTTCTCACTCTATTGGGAATGTGTGTGCCAAAAGTGGACAATTAAGCACAACCTTGGTCTTAGGGGAAGTGTTGCATCATAATGCTGATATTCTGATCGTAATATTCACTGACTGCTAAGTGCAGAACTTTTGCTTATGGTCAGCAGCTGTTGAACTCTTAGAGACTCAAATCTCACATTTTAGAACAAGTGCCTTTATGCAGATAGGACTTTTGATTGTATGTATTATTAGCTACTTCTCTGCTGAACTGAAAAGGAATATCTTCTGAAAAGATGTTAGCACCTTTATCTTAAAATTACAGTTAAAAATATCTTGAATCATTTTAAACCTGAAGTACTGCCTTACTGAAGGAAAATAAATTCACCACAGTTTTACCAATTTTATCTATTCTCACTACTTTACCAATTGTTATTTACTATAATCCTTATAATTCAGACATCTTTGTAAATCTTACACATTCTCGATAAATACTCCTTTTTCCAATCTAAAACAAAACAAAAGAGCTTAGAAGCAAAAGGTACAAAATAGGACCTGTCATGTGGTATCTGGAAGTTTCTCTGGAATGTAAAAGGAGCAGCTGAGTAATGGGATATGCATACAGTGCATTATCTTACAGAAGCCTGTATATTAGTTCCTATTCTTCACTGCCATTCTAGTTGATCTTGGTACTAACTTTCTGATTCTGTTTCTCTTATTGATGACCAAAATCTTTGAGCTCCCTCTGCTGCCTTGGTTACAAATAACACAATAAACAATTACAGAAAGAGAATGGATTAAAAAAACAGGAAAAAAAAAGAAAAAAGAAAATGGAAGGAAACAAAGAAGTTTGTCAGTGTGCAGTGGGATCTTACAGTGCACAGCAGGGCTCAAATTTCTGTCAGAGGTTGTCTTGAACTCATCCACCTCCATCTACTCTTCTGCAGTGAGGTCTAATAGTTCAGGAGAGACAACTAGTCCAAAAAAAAAAAAAAAAGCAGCTTAATTTGACTTGCACTTTGTTAATGGTTGAAATTGGTACTTTTTGCCTTTCCATTTTTTCCACAGTTCTTTAAAGCACAGGCTATAGTTATTTCTTTTCTCTATCTCAGAAGACAAATCAAGTGCTTTTTAGCACGAAAAATGGTATGCCACTTCTTACTAGGAAGCTGTGATTCAAATTAAATCTAATTTTAATTCATCATATGAGGAGCTTAATTTATGTTAGGAATTCTCTGAGGCAATGAAAAATAAATATAATTTTAAATTCTCTTTAAACAAACTTTCATAATTGATATATCTTGAATCATAGAATCATCTAAGTTGAAAAAGACTTTGAGGATCACTAAGTCCACTCATCACCCAAGTCCTGTCATGCCTTTTAGTACAACATCCAAATGTCTCTTAAATACCTCCACCGCTTCCCTGGGAAGTGCATTCCAGTGTTTTCCATCCTCTCCATGAAAACTGGTTTCCTTATATCTAAATGTAAACTGCCCCTGATGAAACTTGAAGCCATTCCTTCACATCCTATCATCACCTAAGAAAAGAGACTGACAACTTTCTCACTGTAACCTTCTTTCAGGTAGTTAAGGAGAACGATGAGGTCTCCTCTCAACCTCCTCCAGGGAAAATAATCCCAGTTCCCTCAGCCACTCCTCGTAACACTTGCATTCTAGTCCCTTCACCAGCTTTGTTGATCTTTCCATACATGCTTGAACAACACAGTAATCTTATAGTGAACTGAACACAGTATTTGATGTGCAGTCTCACCAGTGCTACAAGGGTCCAGCCTTAACAATCTGTGTTACAGAGCTGAATAGTAGCACCAGAGCTGAATATGTCTCAGTGATATTGACAGAATGGCCAGGGTTGGAAGGGACCTCAAGAATCATGAATCTCCAATCCCCCTGCCACATGCAGGGCCACCAACCTCCCCATTTAATACTAGACCAGGTTGCTCAGGACCCCATCCAATCTGGCCTTTAACACCTCCAGAGATGGGCATCCACAACCTCTCTGGGCATTCACATTCATTCTCTTGCCAAATAAACTCTTACTGATCTGCATTTACTGATGTAAGTGACTAGGTCCAATCCTTCACTTCTTACTTGTTGTTACTATTCTTTTTTTTTTTTTTTTTCTACTTATAGATTTAGAAATCTAAGCAACAGCAGGATGTTAACAAAACATGGAAGACAATTTTTTTTAAATATAATTGCACAATATTATCAGCAGAAATTTTTTATTTAAGATGAAAGGAAAGTATCTGCACACACAACTTCAAAAAGCTGAGAAACCTATCAGATTGCTTGTCCATGTAGATTTAAATATTGATTGGCAACATGGAAACTAAATCCTGCAGAAATTTATTTATTGTTGCACTGTAATTTAAGTTTCAACTTCTATCACAACATACTTATAGCGGCTTACAGTTTCTCTGTGTAGCTTGAGTTATGTTTCACTTTGCAGTGCATAGAAATTCTGTTGTTTCTAAGAGCAGTGTTAATACGTATTGCTGGCAGCTACCACTAAAGCAGTGGTTATAGAACACTTGCTTAAGTTGTGGGGCCAACTAAACAAAACTACTGCTTTCATTCCAGTAAGATTGACCAAATTCCTCAAAATTTATAAGTCTTAAAGGTCATTAGCACTCAATCTTGATACAATAGTACAGCTATATTTACTATGTATTATTATGCTTAGATTAATGCATATTGATTGAAAAGGACACTTGCTGAGAAAAGTAATAGCAAATGACATCAATGCAGATAATTAACAAGTTAAAAAGCATGTTTGTTATTTTTTCCTGCCACATGCCACATTCTGCCAAAGGATATTTCTTGACTCAGCCTGAAAAGACGTGTTGTGCCGAACATTGTTAAGAAGCAGGTGGCATATATTCCTGTGCTCTCAGATATAACAAGATTATCTTGCATTTACAAATAAAATGTGCTTTCAACTTATATTAACCCATTTTTAAGCTCTTTCAATTATTCTTCTAATTTTATTGGTTTCATCTTCAAGTAAGCATTTCTCTTTATGTTCTATTCTACCTGTTTTAGGTTGTCTTTAAATAGAGTATTTGAAAGGAGTGTTCACTTGGGTGTGTTGTAAAGTTCAAGGCAGATGAGTTCCACCAACTAATTTTTTTCTTAAATGAATCATTTAGCTTATTACCTAAAATATGATGAAATGTTTGCTTTTCTTTGGTGAAAATATGCTGTAAATTTCTGTGTAACGGAAATAGCAGTGTGTTAATACTAAAGTGAATGGCAGAAAGATCTACTCTGCACAATTCTTATTTTATCATAGAATCACAGAATTCTTAGATTTGGAAGGGAACTTTAAAGGTCATCTAGTCCAGCTCCCTTGCAATGACGAGGGGACATGCACAATTCAATCATCTTGTCCAGGGCCTGATCCAATAAGTGAACAAAAAAGCTACCTTAGAGTTCCATAATTTACAACAGCATCAATACCAAAAACCTATTTTCCCTCATATTTGATAGTTAACTCCCCTCTGTCAAGTCTACTGGTTGTGGACTTGATTCTGCCAAATTAAGAGATCGTTCACATATGGGTTGAAGGCAAGTTATTTGACATCCTTTGTCTTGTAGTCAGTGTGCCTCTGTAACCTATGTTCATGGGGTCAGGAGAACATGGCATCTTTTAAGTTCTGCTGGATTTGCAACTATCTAAACAGACAGTATCGTATAACCATTCCTGGCTGCAGCATGTTTTCCATAACGTATGGAAAGTTTATAAAACGTAACAAAAATGCGCCTGTAAAGAGAATGGAATTTACTGTTTATCCCCCAGGTTTCTTGACTACTACA